CCCGCCACACGTGCGCTGAGCTCGTCGGGGCTCGGATCCCCCCTCCCCCCCGGCGCTCCTGCCGGGCACCGCAGAGAGCTCCCGCTATGGGAATCCCCTGCTCTGGGGAGCCCGACGTGGGGGGGTCCTTGTTATGGGGAAGAGGAGGTTGTCTGTCAGTCGGACGGCACTCGGCCTCAAGGACGAACCCAAAGAACCATCCGTCTCCTCGGTGCTTCCCTCGGTTATCCTGCAGGATCATCCAGCACGAGAAGGATGTGTTTGGTCGCGATGCTGCCAGCAGCAGAGCCAAGAGGTGACAGTCGTAGGTGGCGACGGGCAGAATGGGGCGCAGGGTCCCTCTTGTCTCCATGCTCTTGCTTCACCCATTGTGTTTGCTTAAAACTACAGCTCCTATCAGACCAACACAGCGGGGACACAAAAGGTCCCCAGCTCTGCAATCGTCAAGAGCACGGACGAAATAAGGTTATCGGCCAAGAGACACGTGCCTTATCAGGGGTCGGATACACGTAAAAGGAAGCCAGAGCAACGCTGAGGTCCCCTTGGCTGGCCACGCTCTCCAGCACCTGCTCTCGGAATCGCCAAGGGTCCGACGGGCGCCCGTTTGGCAGCGCCCGCACTATCTTGAAAGGGCTGTGCAAACACTCGCCGACTAATAGACTAATAATTAACCGCCGTAAAGTCCCGTCAATGTTTTTAACCCAGTGACACAAATCCCGAGTTGCCCGAGGCCCAGCCAAACACGCTGTCCCTGTCTGCACGGCTCCCACCTCTGAAACACTCCTTTTAAAAGGAAGGAAAAAGAGATTTTAATGTAGAAAGACCTTATTTCGAAGTATCCTTCTCTTCTGCAATAGCCAAAGCTGCCACTAACACAGCATGGCATAAATTCGTCTGGAGATGAGGGAAATCACTTTCATCTGAACCTTTAAGGATCTTCAGGCAGGAGAAAGGGGAAGGAAACCATCCCTTTGGATGTACCCCATGAGACCAAGCATTTCCGCTGTGTGTAAATGCAATGTAGGAGCTATAAGAAGTAAATCACATATATTCTTTCCAAGAAGTACGCATGGGGCCTACAGAGAGGGACAGACAAACCCACGCCAGGACCCGATCGACTTCTCCATCTGGGCGCTTGCTTGTCTCATGGTGCCGCCAGGGCCGGGACGGAGCCGCCGGCGCCGGAGCCGCTTCACATCCTT